TGTTTTCTGGGACCAGCAGTTAGCATAATGGCTATGTCACTGGACTCCCATGTAGTCGACCGCGGTTCGAGTCCCAGACCTGGTGGCTTAAACTCACGCCGGGTACGTGTGCGTGCATGCCCAAGATCCCGAGAGGAGAGTGGAGGAGAAGGAATTGCGACGTGGCCATCCCCCCTGGGGGGTCATTTCTTGCTTTCTATCTCTCTGTCTCTGTCTGGCGAGCGCATGCGCCCTATAGCAAAAACCTCTCCAAAATAAACCAAAAAACATAATAATAATAATAATAATAAATGAAATTAATGATTAAAAAAAGAAAGAAAGAAAAAAGAGAAAGGGTCCAGATGTCTCAGCGCAAGGCCCCGGGTGGGCTGGGCTGGTGGCGGGGGGTCTCCGTGCCTCACGAGGGCCTCCTCCCCAGCTGGGCCTGAAGCGTTTTCACGGAGTGGGGATCATGGGCCTGAACTCAGAGGAGTGGGTCATCGCCAGCATTGGGGCCATCATGGCAGGGTAAGTCTCACGTCTCCCCCTGCCCAGCCCCTGTCGGAGAGCCGGACCGTGCGGCGAGGTCTGCAGGGCCGGAAACCAGCTGCAGCTCGGGGTACGGCCATGTTCAGAGAGCTCTGTCAACAGTCCAGTCCGGAAGATGCCCAGCAATTGGGTCGTCGGAAAACTCAGGACGCACTTTTCTGTTTTGCTATTCACACGTGCGTCATGACTTTTCCGATGACCTAATACATGCTCCGAACTCATATACACTCTGCAAAGCCCCACTCCCATGTCCCCTCCTCCAGGAAGCCCTCCCCACACTTCTTGAGACTCCCTGGCATTGAGTCTCCCTCACCCACCCAGAACATCGGACCCAGGCCTGGGATGTCCCCAAGTCGTACCTTCACACAGGGTATGCTGTGGGTGTGGGGGTGTCAGGGATGCTCAGGAACCTGGCGACTCCCCGAAGTCCACCCAGCGGGCTCTTGCCTCCTGGATTCTGTTTCCAGGGGCTTCTCTGTTGGCATCTTGTCCTCCAGCTCCGCGAAGGCCTGCCAGGTCATTGCCGAGAACACAGAGATGGACTTCTTCGTGGTGGACGACAACAGGCAGCTGCAGAAGGTCCTTCAGGTCTGTGAGCTCGCGCGTCGGCGGTGGCTCAGCGTAGACAAAGCATCCTGCCCAGTCGAGAAACGAAGTCCGTGGCCGGACAGTGGCTCCGCTGTAAAATGCAGCCCTCTGGGACTCCCACGGGAGGGTTACGGGTGTGTGTCCAGAGACCTCCCTGGACATACCGGCCAGGGGTGAGCGTTCATGAGATCTGACGCTGCCTGGAGCTGGGGATACACTGTGGTCATGACTCTGATGGGAGCCCATGTCCCTTCCTCCAAGAAGCCTTCCCAGACTTCTTGGTGCTCCCCAGGACTAAGCCTCCCTCACCCACTCAGAACATCCTTTCTTGGTTAATTGCCCCACCCAATTATTCTGACAACCGCTGCCGTATTTATTTTGCTCATTCTTTTCTTATTTACTTACTTTAATTTGACCAGAGAGGGACAGAGCAAGAGAGAGAGAGAGAGAGTGAGAAAGCAAGCTGCCAGGTCTGGGACTCCGACCGTGATTGGCTATGTGGGGGTCCAGCGCCCTTGGCCACCATGCCACCTGCCAGCCCCTCTGCTTATTCTTGAGCTTCATGGTAAAAGATAAGATTGTACTATAGGTACTTATGCATCTAAAGGGTTTTTTAGTACTTTAAAGTATCCACTAAGATACTTTTTTTTGCATTGATTTATGTATTTTTTATCTTTTTAAATTTCATTTTCTTTTATACATTCAATCACGTTATTTAGCTTACAAAATGAATATTTCAACATGTGAACCTTTCTCCCTAGTCCAGTTGATAAAGCTATAAAATCTGAGGGCCCAGCAGCTGGCGTAATGGCTATGTCGTTGGACTCCCATGTAGGCGACTGCGGTTCAAGTCCTGAACCTGGTGGCTTAAACTGACGCCAGCCGCGTTTGCGTGCGTGCCCAAGATCCGGAGAGGAGAATGGAGGAGAAGGGATTGCGGCGTGGCCATCCCCCCTGGGGGGTGATTTCTCGCTTTCTGTCTCTATGTCTCTCTCTGTCTCTCTGGCGAGTACACACGCCCTATAGCGAAAACCTCTCAAAAAAAAAAAAAAAGAACTATAAAATTTGTATC